CATCTCCTAATAAAGAAAGAACAGTTCCCATTAGTCTTTCAATAACAAAACCAGCATCATGACTATGGCAACATTTCTTACACCTCTGTGTCGGATGACGTGTTTTTGTACTTTATTGTAGCTTTTATATAAAAATTTGTCATTCAAGGACTTTCATCTCAATTTGTGCCAATCACTTTATAAGTTCATTAGTTTACAAATGATTGCAACAACCCGTTAATAAAATGGAACACCTAAAAAGGTTTTTTAGTATTTTAAATAACTTCAAGCTTCATACTGTGGCTCTTCTTGTTAAGGAGGTTGAGCCAACAAGTAGCAGGAACAGCCCAGCAAGTTCTGATGCCCCAGTGGAAGTGACTAGTTACAACGTTTTATTGGCACAGCCTTGCTCTGCATAAAAACAAAAAAGAAAATAAAAAGGAGGAAAAGAAAAAAAACAAACAACAAACCAAAACAAAAATTAGCATATTCTAAACAAAGAGCATCTTTTCCAATAAACAGTTCATATTCTCATACAGCCATGAAAAATGTTTAATGACTTAACATACATGTGTTTTTCCTATATCATTAATTTGGAAATACTACAAACGCTGTCATTTTAGACCAGAAAAAACTACTGTGATTTGCAAGACCTGACATTTCCTAAAACAGTATTAAACAAGGTATTAAACTTCTTGGCTTTAAATGAAACGATACAACGCAAGTCTCTGCAGTCTGCATTTTGCAAAAGGTAAGAAATACACAAAAGTGTGTGAACAACTCACTCCTATTGAATGATCCTTAGTAAGTCGATAGCCTGTAGGGAGAGCTTATGCTTTCAAATAAAAAAAAAAAGGGAGAAGGGAGGGCATGGCCCAAATCTGCTTAATCCATACGAACAAATATGGTAAAGGCCCAAACTGCTCAGTCCAGATACCTAAGAAGAGCGGAATGGTAAGGCTGTAACTTATACTGTGTCAGTTGACAGATTATCCACTAACTTATCTAAGAGCTAAAGTCCTCAGTACAGCTGTTATAGGGGCACTCATAGCTTGAGTCTGTGTGTTGGAAAACATAAAAAAGAGCTTGTTTTGTTGACATTGGTCCAGGTATACAACAGTCCTCAGCGTTAGCCATCTTCTTTCGGAGGAGTGTACCAGCCTGTGGAGAACAGAGAGATGGATCAGGTACAGACACTGCTGTGCCCAGAACATCTTACCATCTTAGCCTCCATCTGTGGGAGATGGAAGCCTAACCTGGCTCCTTCCTTCCCTCTCAAAGTAGGGCAGCTCCATGAAACCCAGTGCCTTAAATGCTACTGGTCTGAGGTGGGAGATAAAGCATGTGGCACATTCCAGGATCGGAGCCAGTACTTGGGAGTGCAAATGAACTACATCCCAGTTTGGGGGAGGATTGTGGCAGCTATCCTGAGCTGGACACCAACAGAGGAAGCTGCTGAAGGAGGAACATTGCTCTAACAAAACTTAATGATACACAAGTAAAACCCCCAAGTCTTCAAGCCACCGAATGCACAGACACACAAACATGACTCCAGCAGGACACTTACATAAATCCTGCTGTGCACTGCAGAGTTAGGCACGCACAAGCAGTGGAATGGTTTATCCTGCTTCAACAAATCTTACTGCAGGAATAAGCTCAGAATGTCAGTTGAATAACTGGTCTCCTGACACAATTTGGCACGTTTATCAGCTGAATCATACCTGATCAAGTGTACCAAGTTTTTTCTAGCCACCTCCAGATCTCCAATCTTAATTCCCACAGCCCCTGTTGTGAAACTTCCTCTAAGTGTGTGCACAGTGACTACAGGGCCCAGAGAGCTGGCAGCAGCTCTAAGTTAAAGACACCTTTCAGAGCAGCACTGGGTGCTGTGAGTGCTTTGTGCACAGCTCCTGATGCAGCAGTGATCACTGCAGCCAAGGTGAGCACACAGCTAGAAGCAAACAGCCAGCCAGGCTGCCTTTTGTAGCAAACTAAAAAGCAAAAGACTCGGTTAATGACAAGATCAAAATATCATAAAACTGGAAAGCATGTTAAAGGCATCATCTTTGATCCTCCTCCTAACGGTACAGAAGATGTTATGTTGAATTTTAGCAGCAGGGAAACTGAGGGGCTCACTAGTCACACTGAAATATGCTCTTGTGTTCACAGCAACACGAATTCCTGGAGGACACTGCATCAGAGAACACCACAGGAGTATTAACTGGACTAACTCCCTCATCTTGAGACCAGGGTACTGATTCTGCTGACTACCTTTACATAACATGTAAGCTACTTAAACCTTTTAAAGCCTCAGGTCATTTACTGTCTTCTCACACTGGCACAGTAAATGCAATTCTATACCTGAAGCACTTGGGTACTTGGTTTATGCAGGAGAGAGACCATTAACTGGCTTTGAATAGGATAAAAAAAAACCCACCAGAAAACTCAGGTGTCTCCCTAGTCTGTTGTACAGTTTTCCAGCCAGCACACCTCACTTGGACTTCTTCTATCTATTAGTCCTGGCTCTCTCTTTCCACTTCATCACTTCCTTAACCATTACTGCCACTAAGGCCACATTGAAACAAAGCCTTTCTGGGAAAGGGACAGACTTCCAGCAGGTGTTTCACTATGAAATAAGACCCTTTTAAAGCTACAGTAACAACAAAGTTCCTAGATCAACTGGCTGGAAATGAAATTGAGCTACCTTTCAAAGAACAGGAGCACATAGAACATTGATGTAAGCTGAAAAGTTGGAAGTACTGCAGTCTAGTTACTTTAAGTGCTATTGTCTTCCTAGTGCAAGAGGAGAAGGAGGAAACACCATTTATGGACTTGCCAAGCCAACAAAAGACACTGCCACAGTTTCTTTGTGGCCAAACATCAATTCCCAAGGTGCTGTGCAGACAAGAACAAAGTCACAGGAACATACATACCATTTTTCTCATGTATTTGTACTAGTGACTTATAGGACTGCTGTGCTCTTGCTAGATTATATTGATTCTGAAAGAAGAAAAAACTAACATAAAAACCTGCATCTAGACATGCAAGACTTAAAAACAGTTCTAGAAGCAAACTCTGCATTGGGCTTTCTAATAGAACCTATGCACAGTGTTGGAACATTCCTGGCTTTGCAGTACAAGATTGTCAAGACAAGTATCCTCATTTTCCCTCTGTCATAGTGACAAGACTTTGTACAGCCCTGCTGCTGGAAAGGCCCCTCCTGTCAGAAGGTGCAGAGCCTGAGGTAAATCAGAAGCATGTACAGTTGGAGGGTGAGCTTCAGTCCCCATCAGGACTGTCTTGCTCAGCTGGTTTAGGCAGAATTGTAATCATAAACTTCTACACTTTACCTAGCTCACGAAGCTAGAATTGGTACTTAAAATCTGACATCCAAATGATGTCCAAGTATTTAAACATCCTTTGAAAGCAGCATTTAATATTTCAAAGAATTGTAAATTCTGGCACATTAGCACCTGAACTGAACTATGCTTTCAATGAATGCTGAATGGCTAGCTCTGAAGGATTTGCATGTTGGTGTTTTCCACTCTCTCATCAAACTTTGCAGGTGTTAGGCCAGCAAAAGGAGAACTTCTTAACATCAGTGTGTGCAATCCTGGCAGTCAGGCTGTCACCTGCAGCCATTCTCAGAGCCAGAATTTCCAAATCCTCCCACTTCTCGTCTTCCTTCCCTTCCTCACCAATACAAAGATAGTACAAGTCTAACTACATAAATACCCTGCCCACCCCAAGGCTTTATCTGCCTCATAATTTCTTCAACTCTTACTTAATTGCCAATAAAATACTCACACATGCACCAGATATCAAGACAATTCAAAATGCAAATATATTTGCTATGACAATTCTGTTATTTAGCATCTTGTAGGCAAGTCAGTAAACAAAAGGGAGTCTAGCAGTAATTTGTGTAATGGATAAGCACAGCACATTTACCTTATTGGCTCCAAACTGTACTCTGGCTTTTCCTTTGACTAAAGTGGCATTGATCTGCATGATGACTGATTCTATTGAGTAGGCACTGCTCCAGCCCTGAAGGAGGAAAAGAATATTAACATAGAACACGTACTTGCTGCTTGTGCTCACCTTGCAAATCTATTTTGGAATGTGTGCTTTGGGATTATTTTTTTCTGCACTCCACTTTTGGTTTTAACTACTTGATTTCAGCTAACTTGGGATTATTTTCTGCACTCCACTTTTAGTTTTAACTACTTGATTTCAGCTAACTTTTGTTTGCCACAGAAAATCTGTAAAATGATTCACAGTATTAGTACTAAGAACCAAGAAAAATGCAAAGGTTGAATCACACATTTCTGAAATCCAGCAAGACAAACAAGAAAAGCTCCATTCTTACAGCATTTTCATCAACATCACAACAGAAATTTCTGCACTCCACTTTTAGTTTTAACTACTTGATTTCAGCTAACTTTTGTTTGCCACAGAAAATCTGTAAAATGATTCACAGTATTAGTACTAAGAACCAAGAAAAATGCAAAGGTTGAATCACACATTTCTGAAATCCAGCAAGACAAACAAGAAAAGCTCCATTCTTACAGCATTTTCATCAACATCACAACAGAAATTACAACTTCTTGTTCTGAGAAGCAGAAAACACAGATATCTAATGAGGTCACTCAGTGAGCTATGAGAATTTTGGTCCCATGAATATGACTGCTCATCTCTGGCATTGCTTTATCTTCCTGCACTCATTTGAGTTTCTGCCAGAGCCTGCAAAGTGTTACTTCGTTCATTTACTTATTTTAAAGACAAAAATCTCTCTCTGTACACACGAATCATCTATGCCTAGAACCTTCTGTTCTCCTCAGTTCTCCAGAGCTGACTTTGAGCAGTTGACGAGGCTTCTGGAGAAGAATACAATGTGCCTTGCTCCTCAAAACTCACTCTTCACACTGCCTTTCTCAGAGACATTCTGGAAATTCAGTCTTGATGTGCTCTCAGCTTCCTGCCTCAGACCTCTTGTCAGCCATCCAAGGCAGAAAAGCTCTCACACAAGATCAGCAAGAAAACCTTGTGAGACTGAGATTTATTCCACCATGTTCCCTTTGGAATGTGTAACTGATTCCACACAGGGATCCTTCAGCCCAGGGGAAACACCTGTTTTCATTATCCTAAAGCATGTTTTGTTATTACCCAGGTAACAGAGCCCATATTCACCTGTTTAGTAAGAAGTTCCATGCATAATGCACCTCCACCTAGGACATACCTAGAAACAAATGTGAAAGAAAACATATTTGACATGAGCAGTTAGTAAAAAGATGCAGCTGCTCACAGCACTTGGAGCTCTTGCCAGATGGTTTATTAAATTCTTTGTTCACACAAGCTGAAATGCCCTTTAACCAGTAATATATTGTAACTAGTTAGCCATGTTATACTTCTGCAAAGGAGATTAGCATTGTGAGATGAAAAACAAAGTTGTTTTCTAACTAGACTTAGCTAAACCAGTGACTGAGCACATCTGCACCACTGCACACAGATGATGGAAAAAGGGAAGCTGCTCTGTATGGTCACACTACACACACACTACTGACATGCAGATAACAGAAACCAGCAAAATTCAGTTCTGTAAAGAAATGTCACAATTTCAAACAACGTAGGTGCACCTAGAAATCAAATGAGAGAGAGCAGATCTTTGCTTGCTCTTTTCCTATAAACCACTCTCTAATTTTAATCCCATTTCACTCTGCATTGTGCTGACTGGGACTCAGCACAACACCTAAGCACCACAAAAATCTGAAGAAGCAGAATTTACCACTCCCTGAATGGAGTCTCCTTTATGATCAAGACATTCAAACCACATAGATCTGTATGAGATCCAGAGGAAAATAACCACCGAAAAACAACTTTGGTTTCATTCTACAATGAAGTCCAAGTACAACAAAACCAGACATCCAGAGGAAAATAACCACCGAAAACCAACATTGGTTTGATTCTATAATGAAGTCCAAGTACAACAAAACCAGAATCCAAATGAGTTCTCTGGTGTTTGGCACTCCTTGTTTAGTTTTAAGGTAGCAGCATCCCCTCAGGAACACTATCTAACTGCACTAACCACTTCTGGAATGCAAAAAAGGCACACAGCAATTAAAATCCAATCAATCAGCACCAGCTATCACAGACTGCATTCTCAAGTGCAGGTATCCTTTCCTGTCACCAGGAGATGCTTAAAAGCCTTGGAAGGTGAATTTAATCTTCTCTCCATGGATATATATACCTTTCTGTGCCACAGACAGCATTTCAAACATGTTCTACATGACTTATGGAGCATGGTGTCTGCTAAATTTATTGATTGATTTGCATTTGAGGAATTTTGAAACAACAACTTTCTGGCAGTGTTACTAGCACGAGAGAGCCAGTTAAAACTACAAAGCAACTTTAAGGCAACACAGGGATCAAGACCCTTTCAAAGCACGAAGACAAACTCCCTACAACAGGAGAAGGAACAGCAGTGTCAACCACCCACAAAGAGGATGTTCTGAAACATCATGGCAGGCACAGAATCTTTCCAGCTGTAACATTTGTGCCACAAAGTAGAGTTTCTGTAGGGCAGCTCAAACCTACCCTCCAGTGAGCACAGGAGATACCACTCGCACAAAGGGAGGATCAAAAGGGAAGTTATCCTGAAAAGCAGAAAAAAGAACAGGTTAAGAAATGTACTGTGACAATCTTTCCTAAGCACAAAGTGTTTTAATAGCTTAGTTGGCAAATCTGATTTGTAGCAGTAAAATTTTTCAGTTCTGTAAAAATCCCATTTCCACAGTACTAGCAAAAAAATCATTTTTTGGGAAGCTTCAGTGTCAAACTTCAAAGTTGGAGCTTTCTTTTCTTTTTTTTTTTCTTATGCTACAGGATCCATCATTACCCAAGTAAGAGCTGAGGGTCATTTCAGTCACTTTCTACTGAAGCCTCAAACTGAACCCCAGCATTTCTCCCAACAGAGACATACCTTAAAAGAGAAGTTGAGTAAAATGTATTCTACACCTTCTTTTTCTTTTAAGACCTGAAGATCACTATGCAGTGGGCTATCAGGATCAACCCTATAAAAGAAGCAAGGGGGAGATGCTGGATGAAGTAAACGTTTTCACTCCCTGTAAACAGCAATTCCTCTTAAAGACTTGGTGTATTTGCAGTTTACAAACTGTAATTGAAGGTGAACTCTAGAAAATTCTTGCTCCTTTTACAAAGCAATCACTTTGCCATGAGGTCAGCACCAAAGCTTGCTGCAGTGCACTACACTGCCAGTGCTATCAAGTGTTATTTAAACACAGCACAAAATGAGCTGGTGATTTGAGAAGAGCAATTTGAATTCACTGGAAATCAAAGTTCAAAAGAGGGAGGAAAAGACAAACAGGAGGACTCTAGTGATCTAGTTTTCAGTACACAGTGAATCCTTTATGGAATATGTGATTGTAGTTCTGCATCAGCTGTTAAAAAGTCATCTGCATCAGCAGAAGTACTAAAGCCAGCAGCTCCTGCTCAGCAGAATTTCAACTACTGGTCGTTGCACGATGCTGGTGGGGAGAGCCTGGCCATTAACTCAGACACACTGGGTTAATCCCACCTAGGCTCTGCCCCCATCAGCTTTGATAGAGACTAGTCCAAACACACCTGCAGCAAGCCAAAAGCATACCTTAAAGGGGCTGATGGGCTTTTAAATCCACTCCTCTGCTACAGGGGAAACCACAAACTTACTGGATCCCATTTCTGACTTACTTGGGCAGTTTGCCCCCATCCTACCAATGTGAAGTTGTTTCAGAAGAAAATCTTCCAGTGCTTAGAAACCTCTCATTTTCAGCCATACCTTGTACTGGGCTAGTTCAGAGGGACTTGTTCTAGTGCCAACACTGTTCCTTACTCAGATGGGCTCTTTTGTCTCTGACATTTACCCCCTCAGCTTGTCTGCACACAGTTCAGTTGTTTTCAGACACACTTTGCTGTGCTCAACAAAAACAACACTTATTCTCTTAGTCATTCTGGAAGTCATTTGCTGCATGGACTCCCATTTCCTCTTTCTTGAAGGCAAATAATGAGACCTGTTCACAGCACTGGAACAGAGGTTTCAAGTCACTGCACAGTGGTTTGAGCACTGTTACAGGAGCACTCGATAGGCCTCCTGGAACATGGCACAGATAGTTTTGACATATGCCATTCCTGCCATTTTCAGCTTCAAAACATTCACATGCCCACGATTACACCAAGGAGGAAACAAAAGTGTACTTCAGCAGCTGCTGACTCAGTCTCACCCCTAGGAGGAGGCAACAATTCCTACAGGCTGGTCAACTACTGTGCTGAAACAGTTTATGTCCTTGTACTTATTCCCCAGGATATATCCAAACTGATGGAAGATCTTTGATCCACTGTCACCTCTTGCAGCCACCCAGCACAGTTTAGGTAGGCTCTTCCTTTCTACAGGATACCTTGTAAGATGACAGCAGATGATCCTCTTCCCTTTTCAAATCTAACACCTCTAGGATTAAAGTTATTGGACTTATGGACACAACAATGAGTTCTGCACTGCTTTTCATTGTGTGTGCTACGTGATGAGAGAAGACAAGTTCTAGATAATCATATAACTTACATTTATGTGATATCTAAAAGTTTGTCTTATGTGTCTGTTCAGCTGTAGAAATAAAGAACTAATGATACTCAGTTCTGTTCTTACATCCTGAGTGAAACTAGAAGTTGCATTTTCTTGATAGTAAAAACAAATAAAACCACCCAAAAACTCTAGAAAAAAAATTTATAATTTAATGTTTATGTATTTTGGAGCAGTTTTAGAAAGAGATGAATCAGTAATGACAGTGTAATACACACAGTGCTGGCAGTGCAAAGAGAGTTTGTCTTTTTTGCCAGCTCAGTTACTACAGTTCCATTTCTGTACCTCAGAACTGTAGCCACTATTTAGTAGCTACAATTACCATTACTACTATTCCTACTGTAACACACTGTTTTATATGCTCTGGCTAGGGATTCTCAGTTATCAAAAGCAGTAATAAAACAGATGGCTCAGAACATGAAAAAACTTTGCTAACTTACTTGAGAAGCTTAACGTGCCATTCATACAAGCTGTCATTGACCAGTTCCACTGAATATATCCCTGTGGAAACAGCAGATGGAATTAATTGTGCACTAAAAGCAGAACAAGGTAAAACATTCTTTGATTTTAAGGACAAATACTGTCAGAAGACGTAAGCAATGGGTAAGATACTGATACTGAGACACATCTTTCCTTCAGTAGCAGAAACACTTCTGAGCAACTATAAGGAAAAAGAAGTTTTTTCATTTCTATAAAAACAAATTCCATGTGAATCCAAATGTTTTTCTGACACCTAACCACTTCCCCTTCAAACTTCCCACAACTACAACTCCAGCTTGCATATTACTCAGTGTATTTTACACCCAGGACGTGACCAGCACACTTTTAAGACACTTAAAACAGTCTGAGTCTGCAGCATTTTATTTCAGAGGTTCTTGTCAGTACTGGCAGCCCAGGACAGGACACTGGACACTGCATGGAGTAGAAACCTCACAAAAGAAGATACTGCACTGGCTGTTTTACCACTGTCCACAGCACTTCAGCACATAAAACAATCTACCTACAAGTTAAATATGACAAGCCAAACAAGAGCCTGTTGTCTCTTCACCTCTGTCCTTTCACACACAACTGAAATGCCATTGCCAAGGGAGACTTGAGCCCACTAGGAATAAATCTAAGGAGAAACTCAGCAAAGTCAGTCCTAAAATCATGTAACCTCTCATAGATTAAATAAAGTGATCCTTACCCAACTAAAAATCAGCTTTAGACTTTCTGGTTGTTGTTACCAAAAATGAAAACAACATTAAATTAAACAGTGTTAAATTAATTACAGTTTAGACTGACTCTCTAGTCAGGCACTTCCCCTGTTCCCCTCCTGGCCTGCACCAGGGTCTCACCCCTGACTGCTGTGATGGAGTTGCCTGTTTGGCAGATCTAGAGAAACAGAACTTGACTGAAATCTGTGTCATTTCTGCTCATTGTATGGTAACACTCAGACAATTCAACACACTGATTCCTTTGCTGAGCTAGTTTAGATACAGCCCTAATATGGAACAAACAGAACAGCTCATCACCTGCCTAAAGATCATCAGTGTTCATTATTCAAATTTAAAATACAAGCTTGTTTTCCACTGTAATTTGTATCATTATTCCAAGGAACACAAGTTGTTGAGGATCAGATTGATACCACCACAAAACAATAAAAGCAACAGCAGTGCAATTAAGGTTAAATGTATACAACAACACAATCTGTTGCTGCTGAACACAAATTCCTCTAGAGCAACATTCCTGTGGGCACTACTACCCACTGGTAGTGAGAACATTTTACAGGACATGTATCCTATCACTTTTCACTGCAAAAATACTACTTTATGGAATGAGATTATATACAATGGATCTATGTATTTTTCTATCTGTGCACACAGACATACACACACATCTATAGACATACATAGGACAACTAAACACAGAAGGATCAGCAGCAAGTACCAATAGAATTCTCTTAGAGTGTATTTTAAGAAGGGAAATGTGAGGCATTTTACCTGTTTTATAACTCTGTGATCTATATATATCCCTGAGTTCTTTCATAAGTCGATCTGAAGCCTGAACTGACCCAGAGACTGCACCCTGAAACAAACAGAAAAGACTCCAAGTAAGTGAAAACAGTTTTTACTAACAGCTTTACTTACATGCCAAAGTTAGATTAACTAGAAGGTATTAACAATATATTCATTTCTGTATTAGGATGAGGCTTTTGAAAAGTTAAATATTCCAGTGAGCAAAGACTACTCCAAAGAAACAAGACACTCCCCTCTAAAGCAGCACATAAATATATACTACTACATGGTATAGGTGATGCAAACTTTTAATCAAGGTACAACAGGTATTTTCCTGTAAAGGAGCTAAATCACTCTGGCATTTTCATTTCCAAGCTGAATCCACAGTACATTTCTAATAGGGAAACAAACATTCCATTTCACCTCCCACTTGTATGCACTGGAAGGAAGAGTAGGACTAATCCTAAGAAGTTTAGTTAACCTTCCACACAAGGTTTTATTGCTTTCTCAGACATATATTTTTGTTGTTATGGCAAAAGTTGGGAAGTATCTACTACAGAACAGCAGCTTCTGGATGAAGTAAGACTAACCAGTAGTTTGGTACTCATAAACCTTTTCAGTAACTCACTACCTGCAGTTAGAATTTTGAAGACCAAATTCAGCGTAATAAGTTCTTTCTGGAAAAGTAGGATTTAACACTCCAAGGGAGATAAAGCTCCCCTTTCTCCACTTGTGAGATCAAGATTTATAGTTGCCACTGCTTCAGAAATAACTGGTCAGTCATGGGATCTGACAGGTGTCTGTCACGTGGGGCTGATGCCAAGAGCAGAAAGGCTTAGCCATTTCATCTGAAGTAGTTAACAGAGCTGCCAGACAAGACCCAAGTGACTTTTTTTCCCTACTAAGTAATAGGCACAAAAAATATCTCACTTGCTCATCCTCTCCTGTACAAGCATATTTGTGGCTGTCCAGAGCACTAAGCAGGTAAACTGGGCAAATCCCTGCTACAGGAGGCAAACATCTCTGTGCACCACATGCCAATTCCTGACAGCTGCACATAACAGAAATGCCTGGTACAGGAACTCCCACAGCCAAAACTGTTGGGCATAAATCATATTCATGAGAGGCATCACTCCAAGCCTGCCCTGCTCCCAAACTCTTCCCCCTAAGGATGTGCTTCTGCCACTCAGTGAAACTTGAACTGTGTGGCAGTGGGCACAGCCCTTGCCACTGCCCAGCTGTCTGCTGCACTCAGGCTCCAGAGAGAAAGGGTTTTTCTGTTCCCCTTCCAACCCTCAAAACACAACCACAGTCTGCCCCTCAGGTTCTGTGAGGTAGGTGGTACAGTTCACTGCACTTTTACATCCAAACCCCAGACTGTCTGGTTTCTGTCTGATCAGAAAAATACTGTCACACATCAAAACAGTACAGGAAATCACCTCACAGGACAGTTCAGACAATTCAGCCACAAAATCAAAGTTTACCTGCTAAAACAAAACATGGAAACTCCTTCAAGATAACCAAATAAAATCGAAAGTGACCCAAAAAGAGCTAAAGAACACAAGATGTTCTGTTGTCACTGAAATTTCTCAGTATTTGTGCAGAGGTACACTGACTCATGGAAGTGAAAGTAGATTCATACTTACATCAAGGATTAGACTGAAAATAGAAATGACACCTTAGACTTCATAAAATCTGAAGATGAAAGTAGAGACATTTGAGACTTCTAAAGGCAAGTTCATAAACTCCTCAGTACAAAATGGAAAGAGCTAATAGTATTATCTAAATAAGAAAGGAATTAATCTCTAAAATGACTATGTGGGGAGAGACCTCTGAAAAGCAAGCAGCAGCAAGTTGTTAAATATTTGAAGTTAATGATTGCAGTTCAAAGACCTTTTTTAACTCCCAGTAAGCAAGTGGTTCTTTAAAGTTATTACAATGCTAAGAGGAGGATTAATTCCTGCTCCAAGTTGCATACTGCACCACAAGCCAAATTTATTTCCTGATGCCAGCAAGAAGAATGGGATTAAGGATACTGCCAAGCAAGAGAACTCATTTACAAAATTAGTAGATACATATTCTTAACTTGTCTAACACACACAAACCCTAAAAACTCCTATGCAAAGTCTCGAAAAGCAGAAAAATAGCTTTAACCTGCTACAAATAAATGAGGACAGGACTGCATGCACTGCTTTCCCATGGAAAAGCCTTCAGCATGATCCATAATTTCAGCCTGCACTGCAGCCAAGAGGAGAGAGAGGACAACCTATGGATTTGGGCCAAAGAACATGTAAAGAACTGAGAAGTCTCCTGGCTGCACTGGGCACCAGTGGAAGTCTTACATCAGACTCTGCACTGCCTCTTCCAACAAGCAGCATGGAAATGGCACAGGTTTGTTTTACTGGTGTCTGCGGAGGAAACAAAGTGTCCCAAAAAAGCTTTGTGGTTTGTGTGAAAAACAGGCTGTGTTTGGCCTCTGCATTTGTGAAACTCACCCTGGCTTTTAAGAATGCCAGCTGTGGGGGCTGTACAAGTTTAAACTTTGCTTTATGTTAGGAGGCTGATCAAACTTCTGCTCTCTTAGAGGCTTGGGGAACACGTTCTGGTAAAAGCCCCAAGCTTTGGCAGCACGAAGGGGCATTAAAGTGCCACTAGGTTAGCTCTTTCCTGGGTCAGTAGCACAGCTAGAGTTTTCAGTTCTCAAGCACGTAAGAGTAAACCCTCACAAGTCCTTTGAGAAATTATTTAAGCAGCACAGCTATTTCTAGTGACCCACAAAAATCCCACAGTTCCTCAGCAGCAGTTGAATACTCTGTTCCCTGGACTCAGCTGACCTTGTTTATGCACCAGCATCAACGAGAGTGTCTTGGCATGAGAAACAGCTATTATGTAAGTTGAATCTGCTGTTGTCAAACAGAAAACCAGCAGTGTTCATTTCAGCTCCACTAGATGTGGAGGGAGAAAGCAAGAAGGAAAGGCAGTATTTGCCAAATGGGAAGGAACAGATAGCAGAAGAAAATGTGCAGTTCTCAGAGGCTTTCTGCACCAAGGAAGAATGCTGACACCACAAAAACCTTTTCCAGTTCTACCAAACGTGAGATGATGGGAAAGCAGGCCATGCCCTTCAGCCTGCAAGAGGATTTATTTTCTTTAACAAGTAAGAAGTCTTTACCCTTAGCCCTGAGTTCTAAATACAGAAACACACAGAAAATCACTAGGCATCTTCTCAAACTGTCACTACGTAAGTTTAAACACAACCAGGGACTGTTGCTTAGTCAAGTCTTAAAACCAGACTTGACTGTACAGCAAAAGTAGCTTGGCACCTTATCTTTACCTACTTTTAAATACTGATCAGGTTTGGGTGTTGTGGGTGTTTTTCCAAGGGGTGATCATTACAGTCCACACTCTGCAGACCATCTGACAGGTAACTACAGAATTCATACACAGATCAGAGCAGTTTTCTCTAGCCAGTCATCTCATGCTGCCCATTTCTCCAGGATAGAAGTCACAGGTATTTTTGACAGGTTTGCACTCCAGTCATACTCAAACAGCACTGGGACAGGAGCAGCAGAGAGGGAGCTGAAGGACTCAGAGGTATTTCTACTTTATTTCCTTTGCAAAGCAGGTGGCCACACACTGAAACTCTTTTCCATGGTAAAGTGTCAGTAATTAGGAGGAAGCTTTTCTTCTAAACTAGAGAACTCAGTAACTCATAACAAGAAATGGTCAAGATGCTCCTAACTAAAGGAACCTTTTCCCTGAATTCTTAGGATAACTGGATCCATCAAGAGTACATCCAGTATTAAAAGTGGATTGGCTTGGCTAGCACCAAGCACTTGTATGTGGCTCTCGCTACAAATGAAAACAAGTTCACAGCATCAATTTTCTTGAATCTCATATTTCTTAAGTGCAATTTAGGCTTTTTAGGAAATATCAGCTGGAAAAATCAAGTATAAGAACTACAACAAAGCTTGGTCTTTAGGCAAAGGTCCAGGTGTTCCTTACATATCAATCCTAAATCATCTTCCTTCCCTAAATACTTCCAGGTCCCTCCCCTGTACCTAACTACTGTTTGCATCCTCAGCTATTAGCTCAGTGAGCAATAGCACAGCTTGTGCCTGGACATGATCTACATGTCTGCTCACCTGCCAAACAGCACACAACACCTGAGCTCACACAGTAGCAGGTACCAGTTCAGGCACCTTCTTTCTGTGCAGGTGACTTGTAAAATTTTAAACCCCTTTGGCTGGAAACAGATCATGAAGAGTAGTGTTGAATTTCATGCTTTACACATTTTAAGCCTCTATGAAACAAGCAGAAGTTTTGATTTGTTTGGGAGCCAGGCTAAATAAAATGAAGGTTGTATGACATCACCATTCCCTCCTATATGCACCTTTGACAAGTAGAAGCTTCTCTGGAACTTGGCATTTGTGACAAAACATTCCTAAGCCTCTGGGGAACAAACACTTCTTTTACAACTGGCAAGATCACTCAGAAAACTGATAACAAAGCTGCAGAGCTGCTGAAGGCCCTTGGGCTCTACATCTGGCAAAAAATCCCAACCCAGCAGACTTCAGTCATTTCCACATGGCACAGATATTACTGAAAACCAAACTCAAGCACCAATTCCTGGGTCTCCCAAGTATCTGAAGTCACTCATGACTTTTAACACAGTCAGTTTGAAATACAGCTTTATTTTTTATGTTCAAAAGGGCTCAGCAAGTCCTGCTCACAGCCTGGGTGCTTTCTGCTGATTCTGCAAGGGGCACTGCTCTTCCTAACAAAGGCACCAAGCAAGAGACAGAGGGACACCCAGACACCTCTGAAAATGAGACTAGCAGTTAAATACTCAGCTACAGGTTAATTTCTGTCTAGGTGAACAGCAATAGGCTTTATTTGGTGAAAACCATCTCTACTTTCAAGTCAGAAGTATTGCAAAGAAAAACCATGGAATCGTTAACTCACATTTAAGTGATCTTGCCTTTGATTTTTTCTGATTTTTTCTAAGATTGCAAGGTTCTCTTTTTCAATGCCTTCATCCTCAGATTTCTTCCCATCAACTGGTTCCTCCTCCTTCATATCATAGTGATCCAGATCTTCAATGTCCTACAGGATAAAGGGAAGTTAGTTGTAAATAACTGCAAATGCTCTTCGTTCACCCAAACCCTCTCCAAGGGCACTTGGCACACACACTGCACAGCACTAGGTATTGGTGATTGCTGGTGGCCACTTCTATCTTGTTCTAACTTCACTCTCAGCCAACAGTATCACTGGCAGTCTAGGCAGCCTTCACAGTACAAATGAACCCAAGTTCACAACATGCTTCTGCTCCCAGAAACAAGCACATTAAAACCCCTGCAAGAAGTTAGGATTGTAGTGATCAGCAGACTAAAGTAGGCAGAAAACAGAGCTTGGGAATCCAAAAGTACCCAGTGTTAGGGTGGTTCCAAGATGTTTCTACCAGCAGACTCCTTTTTTCCAGTTAGAATCCCAGCTACACTCCACTTCTGGCAAACAATGATTAACATTTCTGGCAGGGCTACAGCAACCCTTCAAGAAAGTTAAATATTAGAAAGCTACATGTACTTTATTCAAGGTGAACATTTTGGCTCAAGATTAGATGCAGCAATTGTGGAATTGGGATGTGAGACAAAACTCTGTGGTGAAGCATTCTGATCACACAAGCCAACATTTCAGGCCTGAGTTCTACACCAAGACACTGAAACCCCCTCCACTCTGTATCCTGAAAGATCCTGTTGCAGAGGAGCATTCTGAACTACAGACAACTGCCTGGAAGGTGATTCCAGTGCTATTTGTGGAGTGGAGGGCAAGGAAGTCAATACCTTGACATGCAAGAGGAGCACTGCAGCAGCCACACCAGCAGGCTCTGGTTACACAGCTCTCAGGTACATCCCAACACACAGAGCTCTGCCACACCTCAGCTACTCTTTACACACCATCTGTGGGCATGGGAGGAAAACCTGACCACAAACCCAAGTGTAAGGATGTCCTATGCAATGGCGAGTTGGACAACACTGTTTCCTTCAAGGTAACAGAGTTTAGACAGAGTTCTTTAAATTGCTTCTCAACTTATTTAAACTGGCTCTTAAAACAATGACAGAGCCCTAAGAATCCTGAGCTGCTTTTCCATTTTGAACTTGGACTAGATTCCAAGTTGAAGGTGTCACTGCCACACACAATGCCACCTGACAGCTCAGAAATAACAGCAGATCATTTTCTCTTGTGCAAAGTGACTCAAACAGAGTGCAAGTGGCTACTGAGAAGTCTCCAAGCAACAAGAGCCTTGTGGCAGCAGGATATGGGAGTGTAAACACCTTAACAAACACTGGCTCCAACAAATATGGTCTGGATCAGGCTAAAAAAGGTGTAAAAAAGGCTGCTTCAAATTCATTCCAGAACTTGGTAACATTTAGCTCTTTCCTAAAGGAAGGCCTTTGATTCAGAGAAAGAGTTGTTCTCTCTCTCTGCATTAAAAACCTAAATCTCAAATAGTCAGAACAATTCTCCTGTAATGAGGCTACTTATAGTGGTTTAAAAATCACCTTGGAGCTGCTCTTACGTGTTGTAGAAGTACACAAAGAGGGTGGTTCTCACACAGTAAAAAGCTCATTAAAGGAGCACCATGTTGCCAGGCAGTGACACAAAGTTCAGCCTGTCTGTGTTTCCTTCCATTTCCTTCAACATATTACAGTTAAAAACTAGCTCACCTGTTTAAGGAATCAGCAAACTGACTTACTCTTAGCCAGTCTGCTTCAATTTGGGAGGCACTTCCAACTGTATCAGAGCCAGTTCACATGCTGCTTGAAATAGGAGTCAACAATGCAAACTTACTGATTTGGCACACAATGTTATGTACTGTTTGACTAAAGCACAAACAGATGTCCAATTCTCTGTATCCAAGTACCTCACAGCTGAGATCTAGGTTTAAGAAGAAAATTTCACTAGTTTTGTGGTTGAAGTGAAAGCTGACATTCAGGTAAACATCCAAATTTTTAATTATCTTTGCTGTTGAACTCTAGGGAGGTTACAATTTACAGCCTGGCTTAATTATTAGCCAGCCACTGTAGAGCAAAATGCCAAAATTCTACTAGATTAGGACAACAATCATATATAGACATACTTCACCCATATCTTCTTCTTCCTCCTCCTCTGATGTAACTTCCTCTGTTGTTCCATTCTGCAACACAACAATGAAGTTTCTGTGTAAATTGTGCACATGCTCCTTCCTTTCACAAACAGCAATCTACTCTCAAGGAGACACAGGATACATGTAGGTTACACTCATCAAGGTCTGAAAAGGACTCAAGTTTGACATGTAAGATGCACAAAGATGTTTTCCTGAAGTGTGACAGTGAAGAGACTTTTGCATGAAGCAAAGGTAAATAGAATGTCACAATTAATTCCAATGAAGTTCTAAGTAGAGACTTTAGATTCAGATAAGGAATATCCTATACTGAGACAGTAGCAAATGCAACAAATGCAGGAATATCCTATTCTGAGACAGTAGCAAATGCAACAAATGCATCAAGTGGGATATGATCTCAACCATGAAATCAGATCATGGCTCTGATCAGAATCCTTCTGCATGCTACACCTCTAAAAAGAAAAAACCCACAAACTTTAGATCTCTAAAATGTAATGGATTCTTATTCTAACTACCTAGAACTTCTATGCAGCCACTGCTATCATCATGTAGCCATTGTTACTATGTTATTTGAAAAAATATCCAAACAGTACATTGAGTTGATTTTTTCATGGCTTTTTATTTCAGGACACCACTTCAAGCTCAGGAATTATGAGTTGCAGAAATGCTCAGGAGTATTCTGACTTGCTTGTCCTCTGCTTACTCCTTCTCTGGCACAGAAGGAATGCCACTGCTCCAGACAATGCAGGGGACTGCATGGATCTTTGGTCAGACTTACTAAGGCCACTGTTAACTTGCAAATTGACATTTCTGGCTGAGAAACCTTCCATGAGTTTGTTTGTGAGTTTCAGAGCACATGTAAAACACTTCCCAAAGCTACTTCCTAACATCCCAGGACTATTGCCTTAGAGTTGCACTGCTGTGTGGGTGGCTCAGAGAAAAGACCTATAGGATTACAATTTGGCACCTGACCAAAATGAAGCAAGTTATTTGTCATGACTCTAGTACTGTCACCACAGGAAACCCATCTGTTACGCTACAGGAGTTTTTAGAAATCGTTTCATCTTAACGTGTACAAGCAAAAGAAGATATCACCATCTTATTAAAAATACAAAAAAAGAACAGTTCCTGTCAGTTCCCAGTTCTGTTTTCAGCACAATGCAAACCAGTTTGGTTAGCAAGAACATCTCACAGCCCTTCACAACTCTTCATCTGTCAAGTGTACAAGAAGTAAACAAGGCACCTCAGGCACTCCCTACCCAAAGTAGCATATGGTGGTGATATCCCATGTCTCTGCAAGGGATTGAAGAGGAAGGAAAACAGCAAGAGGAGTTCATCCAAGTGCACACTGTAAAACATATACTCTTCACCAGAAAACAAACATTTCACAAGGAGCACATTTGGGAAGCACTAGGAGTGCACAGGGATTGGCCCGAACAGAGCTTAGGAGGGAGTTAGGCTGACAGCACTGGGATCACACACACACCTTGCAATGAGACAAACTCCAGAGGAAATTGTGTAACATCATCACACCATTATTAAATGCATTTTGCAAACAAAATTCAGATTGAGGACACCATAAAGCAACAGTGCCTCATATCTCAGTCGTGGCTTACACAAGGTTTAATCCTTCCCACCACCTTTCTCTTGGGAGCTGAAGAAACAACTTCATTGCCATAAGGAGGTGTCCACAGCTTTTGAATTTACCTGCCCAGCTGGTAATGGCTGATCTAACATTTCAACATCTGGATGCTGAGGAAGGTTATATAATCTGCAGAGGTCACATATTAATCGCTTCAGTTGCTGAAGAAGCTATTAAAAAAAAAAAACCAACATGGAAATGTTTACTTAAACCAAAATGCAGAGCAATATATTTTGAATTTTCTTCACACATTGGTACTGAACTTAAAGTCAATGCACAACATTTAAATCTGCTCCTGCCAGAATTACAATTTAAAGAGCCCTCTTATTCTCCGGAATCTTGTAATAAAATCCCCTTGACAGAAACCCAAGGACATAGCAATTTAGAGATGGTTCCCATTCATCCCCACAGGGCAAGTGAAGAAAGTCATGACCAGAAGAATAATCTGCCCTGACAGCATCATCCACTCCAGAGGTGCCTGAGCCACAAATCATGATGGAATAAGCAAAAGGTCATGTTCCATGAGATGAGATGGTCCATTCCTGTTTCCTAGCTTAAAAAAACCATATTTTCAAAAAAACAAGGAGGAACAGGCTGATTTTCCACGTCCTGAATTCCCATACAGGCCACACACCAGCAAGGCACTAGAAGCAAGACAACCAGTGCCCGAGGCCAGCCAAGCTCTGAGCTGGAGCCCAAGCAGTCTGCTTGCCATGTCTTGTGTCAGGGTGAGGCACAATCTGTGACTAGCTCTGATTTCTGTTGCCAGCTTGCAGTGTTACACTCACTGGGCTCTGTCAGCCACAAAACACACACCACCTTACACACACTGCAGTGGAAGCCAGAAAAAAGTTGAGTTCTGCAGAAACAGACAAGTTTGCTTCTTGATCACCACAATAACTAAGTGGATGCCCAGAGCTGTCAACTTTCTCTAGGCCTCAGATCCCTAGTTAAGGCCAAGACACCAAAGACTGTACTGCTGCATTTCCTACGTTTTCAAGGGCTTTGCACAGTGCTGGATCACCAGCACTGTCATCCCTTCTACTCTGCTCCTATGTATGAAAAATCATTGAATAATTTTGGGCCTGGAAGACATCTGATGCATTCCCCTACTCTGAGCAGGGCCTGGCATGATTTGCTATGTGTTGGTACCTGAACACACTGTGTCAAAAGGGAGAACAGATTTCTGTCATGCAGTAATAATTTAAATGTATAATTCAAATGTATTTCCAGGCTAACTTCACAGGCCTGAGTAATGTAAAATGAATGCCTAACACACAGGTTTATGGCTACTGAAGTGGGCTGTCAGTACACAAAGAGTTTCTCTGGAATATGAGCTGCCTAAAGCACAAACTAAACAGCAACCAGAACACATCACCCCCAGGCTGGATTAGAGCAGCAATGTAAATTCCCTGCAGAAGAGAAATGCTCAAGTGACCAAATACAACCACAGTTCTAAATTAATGATATTGATTCTAATTAATATAAAAATAACAAAAATATTGAAAATTTAATACAGACACCTATATTAAAATTTTTTATGCTTCAGGAGTTCTGAGGAATTGGTAGTTCTTGTGGATATCATAATGCTGCGTTAGAGTTTCACAGTGTGTTAAGGGGCTGGAATAGACCTTAGAGATCATACAGACCCAACCCCTGCCCTGGGCAGGGCACACTCCCACCAGAGATCAAGGTTTTATCCAACCTGGCTGTGAACACTGCCAGGGTTGGAGCAGCCACAGCCTCCCTGGGCAACCTGTGCCAGTGTCTCACCACCCTCACAGGGAAAAACTTCTGCCTAATATCTAATCTAAATTTCCCCTCTCTCAATTTGTCCCCATTGCTCCTTGTCCTGTCACTGCAGCTCCTAACCAAGAGTCCCTCTGCAGCTTCCCTGCAGCCCCTTCAACTCCTGGCAGGTTGCTCTGAGGTTCCCACACAACCTTCTCTTCTCCAGGCTGAACAGCCCCAACTCTCTCACCCTGTCAACATTCAGCAGCTTTGGACAGTTCCAGAAAGGAAAGCAAATCTTTCCTGCTGCATTTTGTGTCTGTGACTCCCAATACATAATTAGCTGCTGCTGCCCTGGGAGTTTGCAAGAGGGAACATTCTTCCCAGAAATGCCTCCATGTGGGACTCAGCTAAATTATTAACACAGCAGCAGTGTGCTCAGGGACAGCAGCTTGTCCACGTGTAAACACACTTCTGCCAGGAATTCTGTACTTTTGACATCTTCCATGCAAGTTTAAGGTCTGGAGAGTGTGAAAATTCAAGCTGCTCCACTCAATTTAAGTCCATTTCCCTATTCTCTTCAAAAAGCTAACCTCCAGATAATGTAGAGTTACATTTAATACCCCATGAAGTAAGGTTTGAGGCTTCAGACTTGCCACTGTGACTTGCATTGTAGAGAACAAGGGAATTGCAGTAGGATTTCTCTCTTGCATAGCACAACCACTAGAAGGCAGATGGCAGTTTCATGCCTACCAAACCTCATGTAATGCTGATTTTCAGGATCTGAAGAGGAATTCAGGAGACACTAAGGGTTGAGAGAACACTGGAGCTGACTGAACTCGTTCAATATGAACAGTCAACCAGCTAAAGCCTCCAAATCTAATGCTACCTATGCTGATCACGTGCTTAACAACCTGTCAACATCTGTAGTGTTTTGACAAATTTTCATAGCAAAAAGTTCCCTGCTGATGCCAAGGTGAGTAACAGTTTCAGACCCACTGAAGATTTTCCAGGAAACGTGCATGATTTCAACACAGTAAACCAGTTTTCCTTTTGCCATGGCAAATGACAAGGCTTTTCCCTGTCAAACATTTCTGCCTGAGGAGTATGTTCTCCAGCTTCCCAAACAGCTGATACCTGTCACAAGTTTCAAAGCAGGTAGAAAGGGCAGAGTCATGCCAAAGAAGGCTGAATCAGGGAACAGGTACTAGCAGTGCTTTTAGCACGTGGTGGCTCTGTCCAGTTGAGCTCCTGGAGGAGTCCAATGCAATTCTTGTCCAAAATTTGACAGTGCCAATAACTTTATGAGATTAGGACAACACAGCACAAATGATCCTTCGCCTGCAATAACTTAAATGAAAACTGGGTTGAGACATTCTAGAAGTCTAAATGAAACTCAGCGAATTCTTTAGGGCCAGTGTGATAAATTTTAATTTCTACAGGTAGTCCTTTTCCCTTCCTACCCTACCCCAAGGAGTCTGTGTGAGCTGCTCCAATGCCATTGAAGGGGAGGGAATAGCATGGGGGAAAGCTGCAGGAAATAAAACCCACCCCAAACCCCACAAGCCAAGTCTTTGATGCAAAACAAAGAAGTCAGATTTTGTACTGTGAGTATTTGCCTCTCCAACCACTCCCATCTGTCTTCATCTTGGCATCACACGATGCAGGGTGGATTCCTGAGAAACCAATGGGCCATCCACAGGTGTCTATTACATCAACCCATCAGCTTTTACTTGGGCAAGTACAATCTTGATACCAGAAGCTGTTTTCTTACCAGATACAGAAGCAGTCTCTGTGCATGTGCAATTCAGCACAGCAAGTCCCATGCATGCTTACAGCAAAGCTTTCCACCCCACTGCAGGCAAACCTGCAGGAAGCTACACAGAGGAAATGTCCTGCCCAGAGCCTTTAGGCTGAAGCTATTAGCCACAAACCAGCTTTGAGTTGAAGAACCTTCTGAAAAGTATCTTTAAGAAAACAGCTGATTTGAACAGATTTTCTGCCATATCCTGTTCTGTCTCTCTCTAGGTACAAGTCAAAGACTTAGAGATCCATAACACTCTCCTGAATGTAGTTTAGTCTAAAGTTTAGGTTGAAGTAGAAAATACAGTGAGATGTTTCCTGCAATCACATCCAACATAATGCATTAAACCACTAATGTTCCTCTGCAACTACCTGTAATTCTGGCAAGACCCACAAAAAGACTCTCATTAACTTTTATTAGTTTCCTAATTATTTCTGCTCCAAGTCCCAGAATCAGTTAGGTTGGAAGGGACTACCATGGGTTGCCTGGGCAAGAGTCAGATGCATCCTAACCATTCTTTAGAATCAGAAGCTTGTACACCCTTGGTAGTGTGTGCAGATTAACATTAGAGTCAGATGTAACCATTCTTTAGAATCAGAAGCTTGTACACCCTTTTTTAAGGTAGTGTGTGCAGATTAACATTATCCCAGGAAACATGACAAGTAGTACATTTTATGAGAAAGAACATTCCCAATTTTTCCCAAACCAGGCAAATACTAAGCATGTAATCCATGCAATAAGCAGCATTCTGCAGCCTGGTTTGTTTTGTGTGCACAACATTCCTGTACACAAAAATAAACATAGACTGTTAAAATTTTAAGGTAGTGTGTGCAGATTAACATTATCCCAGGAAACATGACAAGTAGTACATTTTATGAGAAAGAACATTCCCAATTTTTCCCAAACCAGGCAAATACTAAGCATGTAATCCATGCAATAAGCAGCATTCTGCAGCCTGGTTTGTTTTGTGTGCACAACATTCCTGTACACAAAAATAAACATAGACTGTTAAAATAATCTGTTACTACAGATCACCCCAAAGGGCTATTTAATATCCATCAAGCTAAATTTGGAGAGGAAAACCAACACTTAATCACAGAATTTGTCAGGATGCTGCAATACTGCTCTTTGTGGAACGATCTACATTTGCACTGAAATTTATCTCCAAGCACTATTCAAGGGCACTTACTTCCCT